TCCTGTGATATAGCCTGCTGGGTCTCAAACTTAGGATCCTACTGTCTCCACCTCTAGAATGCTGGGCTTGCAGATAGATGCCGTCATGCTCAGCTTCCCTTTGCCTTGTTTTAGGCAAAAGAGAGGACCTATTGGCTGGGTCAAAGATTAAAAGGCGGGCGAGTCTGGAAGAGAAACAGTGTGTGCACTGAGGGGTCAGGAAGAGCAGGGGTGAGGGATGGCCAGGCGGAGGTCCCTGTGAGGGTGATCTGTACCAAGGCTGTGTGTTCTCCTTGCCTCCCCTGCCAGCTCACAGGGCATCCAGCAGGAACATGTTTGTGGCAGGTTCCAGGCCCACCAGTACAGGCAGCTGGACTCCAGCCCTTCATTCAATCTCCAGCCTTTACCTAAGCATGTCACCTGGCACCCAGAGACGGGTGCCCGGGTGCCAAGCAGGCAGGGTGCAGGTTTCCTGTAACCACCGCCTTGCCCCCTCTAGGAGCACAGGTGTCAGGCCTCTAAGATGACTTTACCTAAGTCCCCTTCCCTGGACAGCTTCTGAGGGGTAAACCCTCATCCCCAGCTTTAGATCCAATGGGCTCCAGGACCCCAGGAAAACCTTCAGTTTATATGACTAGAGAAGTTCATCCCCAGGCTGTGGATAAGGGACCTACTGTTCTGGGCTTCCAGCTGGCTCAGCCACGGGAGGCCTGTGTGGCCAACACAAGGGAATCTGCTTCTAGTGTGGCATCTTCTAGACACCACTGTGCTTGCTGGGAGAGAGAGCTAACTGCCACAGGATTTCTTGGGGGAATGTCACAGGTAGAGTCATGGCCACAGCCACAGCCACACCCACATCGTGGGCAGCAAGCAGAAAGAGGCTTGTCCCCATGCCTCTTCCAAGCACTAGCCTTCTCTGACTAAATCTTCAGGAGCAGCTCTCATCAGTACCCTTTCTGTATCCCAGCAGAGTTGGTCCTGAAAGGTGGGAAGCCCCTTGCATGTTGTCAGACACATAGAAAGGCTTGCTTAGTCCTGCGTGCTCTGTGAGTGACATCTGGGAGGCTCAGGGGGAAAAAGGATGCCACGTGTCAAAGACTCTTGTGTCAGGATCCGAGAGCTTCCACCCACGAACCATTGCACTATGTATGGGCTGCCGGGTGCTTGTGGGAGCACCCAGCTGGACTGAAGGGAGCAGGGAGAGGAGAGGAGTGTGAGTAGCTTCACCAAGTGGAATCTAGCCCAAATCTCAGCTTCTGGGATAGGTGAAGGGGTTGGTGAGAGGGATGGCTGGAGTGATGTCACGGCAGACCTGGACTCTCAAGAGGGATCTTCAGGCCTGTCGGTCACCTGTTGGAACAGGGCACCGATGGACCTTGTGGCCAGGGAGAATGGAAGAGGCAGTGGGTGCTTGGGCCAGGAACCCTCCTGTCTTGCTCTGGGCCAGGCCAGGCCTCTGGTTGGAGGTGGGAGGTGTAGGCAGTGTGTCTGGGGGCCTCAAGAAACTTCTCCCAGAGACAAAGGGTCTGGTACCCATTATCCTCAACTGGGTGTTTCAGGAGGCAAGAGAGAGCCTCAGCCTCTCTCTGAGCTCACCAGATTCTCGGTCTCTTTCAAACCTCCCACATCTCTAGAACTGGCCTGTTTACATTTCTGGCCACTTGGGGCAATGTTTGCTGCTGTCACCTTTTAGGCCACTGTGAGGATCCATGTCACCCCTAAATGGGTCCGCTGGGAAATATCATTTAGAAACAGCTAGGTTCGCTTGCTCGTCCCGTAGAACTTAGAATCCAGAGGCCGCAGAGAAACTTAATGGTTTCTTGGACTAACTAGTGATTTCAGCTGTATCCTGGACCTCCTCCTGCCCTTGTAACCCCCTACACATTCTAGGAACCTCACCCTGAGGGGGACATGAGTAAGGAGGCACCTCCTGTGACTGATTCTGCTTCCAAGCTAGGATTTCAAGCTGTCTAGGGCTTTTCTCTAAATGTGAGGACAGAGCTGTACTGGGTAGTCTTATGTTAACCTGACACAAGCTAGAGTCATATCCCCCCAACTGCACCCCAATAACCTGTAGAGAAGCCTCTGGTGCAGTTTCTTGACAACTAACGTGGAAGGGCGTAGCTCGCTGGGTGGTGCCACTGGGATGTACAGGAAAGCGGTCTGAGCAAGCCCTGAGGAGCAAGAGAGTAAGCAGCACCCCTCCATGGCCTTTGAATCAGCTCTGCATCCAGGTACCTGCCCTGACTTCAGGCAATGGTGGGCAGCAAGGTGGAACTATAAACTGAAATAAAATCTTTTCCTCGTCAACTTGGTTATGGTCATGGCATTTCTCCATGGCAGTAGAAACCCTAAGACAGTAGCCCAGGCTGTGACCCACTGCTCAGAGCTGGCCTGAGCCATCAGAGATAGGATCCCTGGCCCTGGAGAAAGGCCTCCTCTCCCAGCCTCTCCCCTGCCTGCGGGTTCCAGCTCCTCAATGCCAGGCATAGAAACCCTGATCTCTGAGGGACCTCAAAGTGCTGTAGCCTTCTACCTCCTACTAGCCCTCAGGCCTGTTCTAAGGATGTCACCTTCCTAGATGTACTGTGAGAATCGGGACATGCAAACTGGGAGGATGTGAGAAGCAGCCTTTCTGACACATATAGAAAACCACCTTCCTAGGTAAGCCTCAGAAGCTTCAGTTCCTCTGTTCCCTCTGTAGTCCCTCTCTTGAGTGAAGGAAGGCTCTAGCATTGGGCTTTGCTCTGGGATTCCTGGGATTCTTTACCAAAAAGAATTTTTTTATTTGTTCTTTTTATTTGTAAACTTATCTGTATGTGTAGGTTTGTGCACATGATGCCTCTGGAGGCAAGAAAGGGGTGCCCTCTGGAGCTGGAGGGACAGGTTGTGGTCCACCTGACATGGATGTTGGGGACAGACGTGTCTTCTGTCACATCGGTGCATGCGTGAACTGCTGAGCAATGCCTCCATTCCTTCTCTAAGGCTCTTATCCTTACCCGGCATGTTTGCTTCCCTTCACCTAGGCGGTTTTCCAGATGTCCTTAAGGAATCCTGTCCCTTACCCTGATCTGCCTCTGCAGGACCAAAGCTAAGAAGTAAGGAGCAATGTACGCTGCCAGCTAGTTCTGAGGGTGAAGGGAGGCGGCATGCCATGGACAGCCCTGGTACCAGGTGGGATGGCACCTGCTTTATCCTGCTTGTCGCCTCTAAAGAGCTTCGTGCTCTTCCCTATCCCCTCCCTCCTCCTGCACCTGATATTCACACATTCCTTGTTCGCTTCTCAGTATTTATGGCCGTTCAAGAGTGTTCTCTGGGAAGCTGAGGCTGTCTTATCTACAATTGTCCCTATGTTCTGAGGACTAGGTGGCCAGGATATCCTGACATTTCCTTCAGGCACTCTTAGGGAAGCCCTGCCCTACCCTCACCACACACACTGAGGCCTGCCAAAGGAGCACAGCTTCACAGCCTAACATGGGGACATCTGCCTAAGCCTTTGATCACTCCATGCATTCCCTGGCCTAACCTTTTACCTTTTTCCTATTTAGCTGTAAATATAAAGATATGGTGGGGGGGGATATGAACACACAGGGTACTCACTCATAGCACCCCTCATCCTTTTTTCCCCCCCCCACTTGGGCATCTCTCTCTTCCATATAGAATGAAGTACAGTGTGGGTTGGTTCACTGATGGGATGCTGGGCTGGGGAGGAGTCTACAGGAAGGTGAGAGCACGGCCGGACTTTCTGAGTTTTCCTTTTCATTCTGAAGACATCCCCGCTGTCTGCCTGCAGCTGGGCAATGGGATTACTTTATTCACTTGGCCTCCTTTGAAGGCCCCCGTCCACCCTGAAACCACCCACTGGAAGCACCGCTGCTTCTGACCCGAGCCCTGGTTGCTATTCACAAAGACAGACTTCGTGCATGAGACGGGGCGAGGGTGGGGGATTGTCAAGGAGCACCTTCCTCAGGGGGACACAACTGTTAATTTTAGAAGCAGCAAAAAGTGGGCAATTCTGCCTTATTCCACTCACCCTGAGGGCAGCGAGGACAGTCCCCTTGGGTACCAGAACATTTCCCCCCAACATTTACCAACCCTACACTGGGTGAAAGACACGGAAATTTGGGAATCTGGATTTTCCTCAGAGAGTAGGAGAAAGAGCCAGAAAACGAAACAGTGTGGGTGGAAGGGACAGTTTACTATGAGGACACAGTCTAAGAGTAGGTGGCTTGCTACTCATGATATGGCAAGCTGTGTCCATTGCTTAGCCAGGCCCTCAGGAAAAAGACCTGGGTCATGCAGCAGAAGAGAAGGGCACAGAGGTTCTCCTATAGCCCACGCTATCCCTGGTCCCTGGGTGTCACCCTTGTTCCTCAAGCACTATGTCTTCAGGATACCAAGAGATCTGCAGAACCCACAGTCCTGAACCAAGGGTTTGGCTGACAGTGTGGAAACACACAGCCCACTTGCTCACCCCATGTCCCTTAGAAGTCCTGCCCATCTTCTGAGAGGAGAGCCCTCCCTAAGAGCAAGTCTCTCACTGACAGGTCCAGCTAGAGCCCGCATGGGTGGCCCATGGGGTACATGGTCCCCAGTGTGCCTAAAGTCCTAGCCCACAGCCTCCACCTTCAGCCCAGCCCTCCACCCCATTATGAAACCTGGAGGCTGAGCCCCTCCATATGTTCATCATGCTAATCTGAGACTTCAGCTCTTTCTCATGGAACCTTTCATCACGGACACTGGGGCATTCCTGGGCAAACTGCTCACCCTATTGCCTCTCTCCTCTAAGTCTTTCTGAGCCCAACAGGCGTGTCCCATACATGTAACCTTATTGACTCCCCCATTCCATGCCACATACCCTGTACTTTGTGCTCCACAGGAAGCCGTTTTACTTTTGTGTTTCGGACACAGCTCCTGTGTATTCCGAGACAAGGTATGCCACCTCAGAGTCTGGGGATCAAGCCCTCTTCCTCACCTGATCTCACAAGATTCTGTCCACTTGATCTCTCTACCCCGCCCCCAGGTTCTACAGTTCTACAGGCATTGTCACTCCATGGCTAGGTCAAGGCATGAGGCCCACACCAAAGCATTTCCATGGGTAGATCACAGAAAACCAGCTGGGCTGCCTGCCATATCATAGCTGGGATCCAAGTGACTGTCCCCAGGCTTCCCACAGATCCTCATCTCACCCATTGTGTCCCTTCCCGGGGTTTGCACCCCAAGTGTCGCAGACTCCATTCTCTTTGTGTAAACATCTTAATTACATCTTTAATGCTCTCACACACCGAGATGCTGTGAGTTAAATTACAGCTTTGTGCATCCTAAATTACTCACAGCCTTCCAGTTGCTCAAGTGCTAACGTATTTATAGCATCTAGAGGCAGGAATAAAACCAGAGCTGTCCCCGTGGGATCCTCCTAGCCCCTCACCTCCTGACACGTGGGATCTGCCCAAGAGTAGATGTGCCACCCCCGAATCCCCTCTAACCAGCAGAGGACAGCGAGTACAGAGACACTGGGGACACGCCTCTGTGCGCGCTCAGGCGTGTGTCTCTGTAGAAAAACTGCCCCGTGGTCTGCTCTGCCCGGATGCCCCTGATATCATCTTTGCACCTTAGAGGAAGGAAGGGCCAATGGCAGAGACTCTCTTCCGCATCCCATGAACACTGAGTGGCCCTTCCTGCAGATAGGGGTGGAAGGGAAAAACTAAAACCAGACTCATTTCTCAGACAACCGTAACTTTGCTTACCAGCTTCTGGCCTGTGACTGCCCTTAGACAGACCAACACCCTCTCCCAGAACCCCATATAGGAAGGGAGCCATTTCCAGAAACAGGTCAGGCCAGCTTTTGGAGCCCACGGAGGAAACACAGTGGACGGAGGAACCCAGCCTTGTTTCCCTCTGCTGTGTAGCCCTGAGCGCTGAAGGAGAGGATGTGGCCTACGGCAGTCTTTCACTACACACCATGGGGTGGGAGTCAGCTTGCAAGGTGGGGCCAATGTGGAGAGCCTCTGTCATGCTCTTCTGCTGGAAGAGCTACATATCTGTATGTGGCCCACTAATACACATGCATGAAGCCTTTCTCCACATCTGGGGTAATTGCATCTTCCCATACCCGGTCTCCCAATTTCCTCTCCCTCAGCAGCTGCCTTGGCTGCTAGGGGTATGGCAGAGACCTCTGGGAGAACTCATGCTAACCCACTCACCACAATATCTTAAATATGGATAGCTCCTGAGTTTGTGTAGCCCTTGGCATTTACTGGGCATTTCCAGCTCTGTTCCTGGGCCTCTTGGGCCTATAAATGGTGCTGCCCTAGCTGGATATGGTGGCATGCCCTAATCTCAGCACTCAGGAGGTAGAGGCAGGTGGATCTCTATGAGTTGGAGGCCAGTATGATTTACTGAGTAAGTTCCTGGCTAGCCAAGACCCTGTCTCAACAAACAAACAATCCCTTGCAAAAAAAAAAAAAAAAGTGTTGCCCTGTCCCTGTCATTCTCTACCCTAGAGGAGGCTCCAGGCCGAAAAAATAAAAGGGCAATCCTAGATGGAGGAGAGCTGCCTCTCCTCTCCCTTCCCCTTCAAGTTGTGCTCTTCCTCCCCGTCAGAGAAGCAGACCTTGATTCATAAAGGTTAGGAGGCAATCAGGAAACCAGCAATGGCTCTTCACCTTCCATGCCAGGGCCGTTGGTTCAGGCAAAGTCAGTGGCCAAATGGCTAGCCTGGTCAGCACTCTCTGTTCAAGCTTGAGAGTCAGTGGGTGGGGCCTCAGCACAGCTGGGGTCTGTTGCAGCCTTTTCCTGTCTTGGTGGTGGTGATGACTCAGGTCCTGAGAATAGGTCTTGACAGTCAGGAAGTGGGCAGCACTGCCAGCACTGTGGCAGGTGTCTTTGTCAGAGGTCCAGGCCTGTTTTCAGGCCTCTCACGCATGGATGGCATTGGCTACGTCAGTAAACACCAGCCTGCTAGGCCTCTGCAGTGGGCCCTGGGAAGGGAGGGTGCTCTGCAGGGAGACAGACAGGAACATCAGAAACCCTGACCCGGGCAGTCTCTGATACAGTCCCGTCCATCCTCACTTCCTGGTGCCTGCTTTTGATTGGCATCGGCTCTGCCTTCTGCCTAGAGTGCCCTTCCACCAGGCTCAGTCTAGAAATGTGACCTGGCTTAGATGATTCCTCCCTCCCCCAAGCCATTCCCAGCTTGCCCTGTCACCTTGGCAGCACTGACTATGAGCTTAGTATTGGATTAATTATGCATGTATTTTCTGCCAGCAGAAATATATCACCTCTGCTGCTCCTCCCCCTCCAGGACAGGGGCAGACATAAGGATGGATCAAGGACAGGCCCAAGCCCTTCACAGTACCATGGTTGGGGTTTGGGAGAGAGGTAGCAAGTGGTCAGGTTGCCCAGTGGTTCTGACAGGATGAGGGCATGGGTGCCCGCCCCTTTGCACACAGGAGGTGTGTTTGGCTTGGGTCTCCACTGCCCTAGATTGTCAGGGGCTAGGAGTCACGTGCCCACTCTTCAGCCACTGCTGAAGAGCCTGATTCCATTCACAACCCACTCGTGTCCACGGATCCTCATGGACTAAAGAAACCAAAGGGTCCTTGGCCCTGTCAATCTTGCCTTTAGGTTTTGTTGTTTCTTTTTTTTGCTTTCCCAGCTAGTACATGAGGAGTCACAGGGCAAGAGTTAGTATTTCCATCTGTAGATGGAAAAACTAGGCTCAGGGATTCTAACGGGGCCTCCATGATCTACCACCGGCTGTCAGACCTGAGCCAGGCTGGATCCCACAGAGCCTGGCTTTGCATAGAGTCTGCCAGGGCCACCGAACAGTCTCGTACTTTATGGACAAATCTGAAGAGACCCGTGTGCTCAAATCTGCCAGCTCATCACCTGGCAAGGGCTGGCAAGATGTGTGGGAAGGGTGCAGGGTGGGATAGAAAGAAAGGACAGCTCCAGGCTGGGTGGGGAAACTGGCCGGTGCCCACCTTGCCCTGTGTGGCCTGCATGGAGGCAGCAGCCTGCATGGAGGCAGCATCTCGCCCATGTTCCAGTAGCTCCTGCTCCAGTTCGTCTTGCTCCTCCGTGGGGTCAAAGTTGTACATAGGCATGAGCTGGTGACGTAGCTTCTCCAGCCTGGGGGGTAGAAGGAGGCTGTTTGGGGGTAGGGAAGAGCTTTCCTCCCTCAGTCCTTTTAGCCAAGGGAGCCACAGACCAAGTTTAGGGCGCCTAATTAGTCTTCCCTCAGGATTCACTGACAGACGTCTTTGAACCTACAGTATCAATTTGACTCTCAGATGGATAGCTTTAGAATGAATAAGAAGCCCATTCCTGGGTCTGGTGGCAGGATCCACATGGGCTGCCTAGACCAGGCCCCTACTGCAATCCCCAGCCTCTATGGACAGAGGCAGAGTGGGGGAGTTCGTGGCAGTCAATTTAGGCCATCAGGGCAAGGGTAGCTGGGTGGCCATGATTTCTACCCTCCTTTCCTGAACCCATACCCCAATACCAGGATTACACCTGTTTGCTCAGAATCTTCTTACCTGCCTGCTTGTGTGAGAAAGTGGCCATTATGAGTTGGCAGAAGAGGCCTTGATTCTGCTCTCCCCCACTGCCCTGCACCCAGAGAGAGGAGCCTTAGTGCTGGGGCCTCTTTCTGCTTTCCTACTCACATCCCTTGGATCTCAGCCCAGCCCTTCCCTTAGGCTATAAAGCTTCAGGGGCCATCTGGGGATTTACCTCTTCTTCTTCCTGATGTATAAAACCTGCAAGAGAAGAAATAGCATCAGATAGTGAGGGGAGGGGGCCCCAGCAGTCCAGCATGCCCTCATGGTGGGTGAACAGTAGAGTATAAAAAGTGTGTCCCCCATATCCTCAAGGTCCCATCCCATACAGACACCTTACATATGTGTTTCACATTTTCCCCTCCACTACTCAATAAGATCTTGCTACATAGCCCACCCTTGCCTGGAATTCCCTATGTAGGCAGGCTGGCTTTGAACTCTCCATCCTTCTATTTCCGTCTCTGAGGGCTAGAATAACAGGCCTGCACAACCCCACCTGGTTCCTTTGGTATCTTTAGATGCCAAGAGATCCCAGACTGAGTCTGGAGATTCAGAGATGGGGGCCAGGCAGAGGAAAACCAGTTAGGCCTGTCTGGAATTGGCTGCTTCCAGCTCTCCAAATCCTGACTGACTGCCCACTCAGCATCTGCCTGGGACTCCTCCCTGCTGACGGGGAAAGGAAAACTTCAGCATGTCCCCTCAATTCTCACTGAAGCCACCCACAGGCAAAGAGAACAGCAGATCAACAGCAGGCCGACTGCAGAGCGAGGCTCCAGGCAATGTTCTGCACACTTGAGCCCCAGGGCAACCCCTCAGAGCCCAGATGCTACAGGAACCTAAGAAAGTCCCTGGCTTCCTCCTTCCCTTGTCCAGACACAAAAGCAAAAGGTTAGCAACCAGATGGTATCTAGAACCCACAGGCAGGAGCAGGAAGCCTCGGCACCAAACACCAAAGAGAGAGGGGAAGGGGGTAAAACTTGGAAGGCCACACCTGGGCGGGGACTCCAAGGGACTACTGCCACCATCTGTTCTTCCCCAAACTGGCAATTTTTGACTATAAAAAATATAACAGGGGGGCTGGAGAGATGGCTCAGAGGTTAAGAGCACTGGCTACTCTTCCAGAGGTCCTGAGTTCAATTCCCAGCAACTACATGGTGGCTCACAAGCATCTATAATGAGATCTGGTGCCCTCTGCTGGCGTGTAGGTGTACACGCAGACAGAACATTGTATTAATAATAAAGAAATAAACCTTAAAAAATGTGTAAAAAATATATATATATATCAGGAGGATGTGGGGAAAACCACACCTTCCAGTTTGCCCTAAGCCCCTGTGGCTCCCACAATCTTTGTAGCCCACTCATAGCTTTAATTTGTTTAGTTCCCAATCTGGCCCAGAGCTTTCCCCATATGGTCTGGAGTGGAAAAAAGCTAAAGAATTCCTAGCTCATCTACCTGTTCCCGGGAGTAACTCCTTGCTGCCCTATGGGTAGACACAACAGAAACTCAGGTTTCTGGGTCATCCCCAGCCCCCTTCCACCCTGAGCTCCAGCTACACACCCTGTGCTTGCCCCTTGGCCTCGTGACTCTTGCTCCAAACCTCCTCCCACCCCTGTGGGCTGTGACTCAGGGTAAATCTATAGGAAAAGCCAGACAAGACCCTATCCAGCATGCATGCCTTTGCCCTGTGGCCCCACTGCCCCAGGTGAGCACATATTTCCTTTCCAAATCTTCTGGTCCCCCACTGTCCAGCCCCACATCTCCCAGGGAGCTTTCCTGTCCTGTACCAAGCTCTCCTTATACTCCCGTGTGAGGCATGAGGCTGGCACCAGCTCCTCCATGCACCTATGGCGTGGTTCAAGGCTGGCACAAGGGGGAAGGAAGAGGAATTCAGGGGACACTTCTAGCAGCCTTCTCTTCTCCTCTGTGACTTGTAGCTCTTCCCTGCCCTCCACTGTCTTTGTCCTACCGCCCTCTGCCCCTCTACCTTTGGTGGGAAGGTCATCCACTCTGGCTTGAATGTCCCTCTCAAAGAAAAAGAGCAAGGCAGCCTTATCAAATTCCTAGGTGAAAATCTTTTGCTTAGCTCAGGACAGATTCTAAGCCATTTGGCCCCTTGGTGAGGATGTCTCAGGCTGCTGTAGCCCCCACACAGGTGTCAAGGGGAAGTACTAGTGTTCTACCTCCCTCTCACCCCAGGAAAGCTCCTCTCCCCTCCCCCTGCCTCCCTCTGCCTTTTAATGTGTCCTGGCCCTACTTGCTGGTCAGCAGTTGTTCCCTGGCAACTGTCCGGAGCCTGCAGGGCCCATATGGCAACCCTAGTTTAACATTAATTGGTTCTAGCCAGGCCATGGATGACTATCCCTGCTCTATTTCTTTTCTGTTGTTTGTTTATTTGTTTTTTTTGTGTGTGTACATGTGTGCTGTTTGTTTGTTTGTTTGTTTGTTTTCTTAATGCTTAAGACTGAACCTAGAACTTTGTACCTGATATGCATGTTCTTGGCTTCTGAGCTATATCCCCAGTCACCCCCACCCCCACCCCGCCCCATCCAGCCCTGTTTGTCAGACCCACAACAGAGCTCAAGGCCAGCCATCATTGCCTGTAGAGGGCAATGGGCAGAATGCCATTATTACTAGCCCCTCTGGGGGACTTCAGCAGCACCTCATTTTTCTTAGTCTTAACTTGTACAATCTCTAGTTGTCTCTTTAGTGACATTCTCTGTGCCTGTCACTGTTGAAGAATACTCACATTGTTCTTCTAGCTCACCTCTGCTCTGAGGGCTGCCTGCTCCTACCCCTTCTCATGACAGTGAGGTCAGGCTCCTGCCTGGACTCAGAGCTCTAAGGTTTCTTCCCAGCTCTCTCTGACCACCCAGCCCAGACAAAACCCCTTGCCTATTAACCCATTCCTCATAAGAAACACAAGTCATGACCTTGTCCCTTCTGGCCCTGTTTTGTTCCAAGAGTAAAGGAGCACAGTCAATAAATGCCAAACGAATGCTAAAATGAACTGCTAACAGCCTGCCATGGCTAATGTATCCCATTCAGACTCTGCATCCCATAAAATATCCCAACTACCTTTCTGGCCTCTAATGCTCGAAACTCCTATACTCCCTTCTTCACTGCCCTTATTGCTGCTCACAGAACCTCCTACCTGCTTCAAACATGTGCCTGTCAAGACCCTGTGTCTGGACCCTCCCCAACACCTATCTTATATGCCCCAGGCTCAAACACCATGTGTTATTCAGACTCACTTCTAGTTCTTCCAATTAGAATTGCTTATCTGTATTCCAGTAAATAAGTCTTGGGGGGCAGGCGGGAGGGAATTGAATTATTGTTAATGGACAATTGTCTTCCAATTAGATTGTCTATAAGTCTAAACACTAATCACCCTCCCCTAAAGGACAGCCTTCCGGGCCTTCTCCGGCTTGCCCCGGCTCTCACCATGGCCACAGCCAGGCCAATCACTGTGATGATCCCAAAAGACAGAAGCATGGTACCCACGCCAGCTGCACCACCTGACATATCAGTGATTCTGGTGTCATTGAAGCTTGTGGTTTCTGGGCTGAGGGAGGTGGTCTCTGTGGTAGACCCTTCAGTGGCAGGCTCCAAGTCAGTCTCAGTGGTGGGCAGGTGGCTGCTGAACCAGCTCGGAGTAGCTGGGCCCCTGGAGTTCATGCTGATGCCGGAGACCGTCAGCGCTCAGTCAACCTGCCCACTAACTTCTGGTGTTAGGAATGTCCAAGGCTGTAGTTTCCACCTCCGTGGTGACCACGGGCTCAGCCAAATCCGTAACAGGAGACCCCTGCCTCCCTGGGTTCTACAAAGGGAAAAATAAAGGCGAGAGTTACAGCAAGGGGTCTGTCCATGAGATAAAGTCCATCTAGAATCTGAAGGCACGGAGGAAGTAAAGGTTTCAAGACAGAGCTAAGTCAAGTTCAGGGGGTATTAGGATGCAGGCTTTGTCTATGGCTCCCATATGGATGTTGGGACATGAAAACAAAGTTCTGCCACCTCTGCACAGTGATTATCACGATTGTACTGAGAAGCTGGGAGAAGATGCAGGAGGCCTGAAAGAAAAAGTCCACCCTTGCATAATGATCTCTTACTCACTATTTCTTTTACTCCTACCTCCTCACTCCCTGCACCCCACATCCCTCATTCCGCTTAGGGGGAAAAATCCTGCAGCCTTTTCCTTCCTTGGAGGGAAACGCTTGCCTAAGATCCAGGCAGACCTGATATAGCCTCAGGCAAGTCACCCCTCTTCTCTGTGTGTAGTTTTCCTCACAGTGGAGGACAAGAGCAGCCCTATGGTGTTGTAGTTAGTGGCATGCCAGAACAAATAAGTCCCCAGGAGGGAAAACAACTTAGCCAACCACAAGGCCTGTCCACAGGAGGCGCCCAGTAAAGGTTCCAAACCCCCATCTCTATCACCCACAACCTAGGAGAAGGAGAGCTCTCAGGAGTCTCTGGACCTAGTCGACTGTATGACCCAGGCTGTGGTTGGTGCTGAAACACCAAGAGGCAGGAAAGATAGGCTGAGCCAGATCCTCTGGCGGGGCAGTTGGCAGGGTGGTCATTGGACCACCTCCTTTCACTCCTAGAAGTAAGGCAAGGAGTCACATCTTCAGAGGCAGTGATAGAATATCCACTTTGAAATGCCTTCTCCTCTGTTTCCCCCCTAATTTGGAAGCAGAGGATGGGTGATCAGCCAGCCCCGTGGGTCCTGGATATAGCAGGGCGGGAAGGAGTCCTAACAGTGCTGCAGGGGAGCAGATCTAGAAAGAGAAAGGGTTCCAAGCTTATGGCCACATTCGTATTTGTCTGTGTGGCTCACAGGTGTACATGCGATGCCTCCTCTTGTAGGTGCAAAATTACGTGTGAGAGGTGTGCACATATCCTTCATGGTCCCTTATGAAGGAGCAAAGCTGGCAGAGGGTCATGCATGGAGTAGACTCATTCCTTTCTGTCCTCTCCAGCTTGGCTCAGCAAGAAGTCTCAGGTTCGCTTCTGGGCTCCGACACTGATCCCAGCCATGACCTTGGACCAGACCCTTAACTTGCTCTGAGTCTCAGTTTATTATGGGCCAAAGGGAGAGAAGGCATCCTGCCGACTATGTTCTTGGCCTGCCTCGGGGTCCAAAGGGGAAGGAAAGAACAGGGGGTAAAAGTGGTGGGCACCGCGACCTCCAAGAAGCGGCACGCCACTCTCCATCAGCTCTCTCAGTCCTCCCGGTCTCAAACCCCACGCCCGCCTCCTCGACCCTGCGATTCCTCCATTCTTGCTCAGGAGCAGCCGATCTCAGCACTTACTTAATCCTCTCCGGGGCGCCGAGCTCAGCCAGAGAAGCTAAGGGTGGTAGCGACCGGCGGGAGGCGTGGGCGGGGGGAACACCCAGGCCCGGACGGTGGGGGCGACAGGTCCGACTCAAGGTCCGCCTTCCCTGCAAGCAGTGATCAGCTAGGATTAGCCTATGCCGGCTGACAGACTGAGCTGGGGTGGGCTGGGCCGGGACCACGGAGGGGGTGGGGCTGGGATGAGCGGCCTCGGGGGATCCCCAGGAGCCGGAGTGCCTTGCCTCCCGGCCCCCTCCGCGCCCCCGGGCCCTGATTGGCTGCCATGCCTAAAGCCCGACCAGCATTGGCCCACTCTCCTGTCCCTCAGATGTAGCCCCGTCCACAGCGGGAGCCGAGCGCTGAAACCCGACAACCAAAAGAGATTCTCTGAGAGTACCTCTGACCCTGATGGCCTGCCGGAAGTTGGGCCGTGAACTGTAGGTGACCAAGCCCTTTCTGGGCCAGAATTCGGGCTCCTGGCCAATTCCTTCCAAACCGGGGCAGAATCGTAAGCCGAAAATGCGTAGGTACAGATGTTTGCTGAGAGCACAAGACCCGGAGCCTCTTTGAACTCTAGCTTGATCCGTTGAACAGTAAACTGCTTCTCCACCTTTGTCTCAGCTACCCGCTTAGGTAGGAACTCTGATGAAAGGGCTTTTTTGGTAAATGACTCCAACTATGAGGTTATAAATGGAGAATCTTTCGTCCAGAGATGTTGGGAGCAGAATGGAATTATGAGTGACATAATTGTGTGCCCTGAGCCAAGCAAACCCACCTATGACCCCTCATAATAGCTTCCATCCATAGCAAAAATTTATCTCAGGACAGAAGCACCAATTCCTTCCCCAGCCCTTTAAAACTATCCTCCACCCTGTCTCCTAAACAGTATCACACTGTTGTCCAGGCTGGCCTGATACTATGTAACCCAGGCTGGCCTTGAACCAAGGCCATCCTCTACTTTCTGGGTATTGGGATTTTAAATTTTAATTAATTTTATGTGTAAGGGCATTTTGTCTTGCAGGTATGTCTGTGCATTAGGTTTGTGTCTGAATTCCTGAATTCCAGGAAGCCAGAAGAGGGCATTGGATCCTCTGGTCCTGGAGTTAACAGTTAATTGAACCTGGGTCCTCTGGAAAAGCCATCTCTCCAGACCTCCTTGTACTGGGATTTCTACGTGTGCACCAGTACATCCAGTTCCCAGATCCCCCCCCCCTTTTTCCTCCAATTTTTAATTTTTTACTTTTTTTTTTTTTGACACAGGGTTTCGTGTGGCCCAGTCTGACCTTGAAAGATAAAGTTGTCCCCACGCCTCCACCTTCCCAGAGCTGGGATTTCTAAGTGTGTATCACCACACCCCACTTTCGGGCATCAGACCCAGCTTTGTGCATGTTAGGTGAGCAGGTCAACAAACTGAGCTACTCGATGAACTATTTTTAATTTCTTAAAATTATGTGTATGTGTGTTTGGGTTAGGGTATGCGCACGGATGCTGGGAACCTGAAATCCAGTCCTCTGCAAGGGCAGTATGTGCTCCTAACTGCTGAGCCATCTCTTCAAAGACCCCTCCCACCTTTTTAAAATTTGAGACAGGTTTTTTTTTTTTTTTTTTTTACTAAATGACCCAGGCTGGCTTTGAACATAGGATTCTCCTGCTTCAGCCTCTCCAGTAGCTGCAATCACATGCCTGCACAACTAGGTCCTGAGACTGCTATACATTTCATAAAAGGCACAACTAAAGCCTAGAAAGGTCTGGGCACTTGAACAAAGTTAAACAACGAATTGCCAACATAATCAGGTTTCAAATCCAGTATTCGCTGTTCTGCTATCTGCTCCAAAATTCTATGTGCTTACCGAGGGGGTCCTTCGATATTCAGTCCCTTTCCTAAAACAGAGACTGCCCCCAAACACGGAAACCCAACCACACGCTGCTAGGTGTTAGAACAACTCCCTTCCTCCTTCAACGAATCTGACTCTCAAACCCAGGGAACGCGGATGACACTCTCGCGGTTTGTTTCTTCCCACACACCTCCCCAACTAGATATGACAACGTTTGCTTCAAGCAATCACCGCATGTTGGAGACACATCTCTGCGATCTGAAGGAAGACTAGTGGGTCTGGGGCCCTACACAACACTTCACACATTCTTGCACTTTGCCCTTAGTGGGGCTGCAGCTGCCGGTCAGTTCAGCCTCCCCGCCGTCCCCAATCTTCCAAGGGGAATCCGGCCACTGCAGGAACCCTAGATCCGAGAGACGTGGTCCACACGAGCCCTTTCTCAACTGCACCGAGGCGGAAGCAAGGCGCTGAGGGAGTACATTGCAGGCTACGCACATCCGGGGGCTGACCCTGGGGCTGCTTCCTGGTGCCGGTGTGTGAATAGGGCACGTGTGCGTCGCCTCTAGCAGGTATGCACCAGAGGTGGAGCTCGGGATGAGAATACATGGACCGCCACGTTGACTTTTGAGACGGGGAGGGCCCTATTCCTCACAGCCAGGGGGAAACAGGCTCGAAAAGAGGGCGCGCACACCCGAATCGTCGATAATGTTTTTGCAGATTTGGGATGGAGGTTGTGTCTAGACTTCGAGCTTTGGTCCCTTCCGGAAATGGGTACAGGTGGATCCAGTTACCTCAGGAGTCCGGCAGAGCCGAATTTGTGTCCTGCCCGGGGTATTTTCTAGCTGAGTTACCGTGGGCACGTTGCTTCCTTCCTTTGCAGCCCTTTGAGGATGTGACAGTTAGCAGGTATTCAGCAAATGTTAGTTTGGACCTTAGTTTGTTTGAAAGTAGAGGGGACCACCGATTTTAAGTTTTCAGATAACTTACTCATGTTAACTTAAGTGTAACATGGTTATTTTTTTCAGCCTTCAATTTATGCTAACGTCTAGGATCAAGGGTTAAATTAGAGAAACACTTTCAGCTTCCAAACAAAATAGTACATACACAGTGTCACAAGCAAAGCTCCCAAGCATGACAGTCTCCTGCCATCTATTAGCCAGTCCCTCGTGTGTGATATACTGTCTTCCATGCCCTTGACATTCACTGATGAAGGCACCACATACTAGAGAGCCTGTGTAATTTTCTCAGGTTATGGATGAGCAAACTGGAAGCCAGAAACAATGACTTGACTGAGCTCACTCACATTGAGGTCTGACATAAGTCTGCCCTACTCCCAAACCTACACCTTGGCTATTAACAGGGACCAGGCTCTACCAATTCAACCTGGAAATAACATTACTAACAAAGACAAAAAGAAATCAGATAAGTGGTTGAGCATGGGAATATAGTTCAGGAGGTGACAGACTAAAAGCACATTCTTTTCAGGCAGTTCTTTAATCTTTCCACATCCTCCTCTAGGGTGATAACATCTGAGAAAACAATGGAGAACCAGTGCCTATGACTGATCCTTCTCCACGAAGCCCCGCCCAGGGATCACTCCCAGCCCCGACCTCAGTGACTGATAGCACAAGGGAGACCTAACAGCTTAGAAATCTTTCTCCAAGACATGAAGCTTTGGGGCCGAATACTTTGGAGCCTCCTCTCTGGTCCCAGGGGAAGAAGGGGAGTCTCCCAGGGCTGGGCCTTCAATTTACAGAAGTCTCATTCATGTCTGGCTGGGCTGTTGAGTGCCACAGAGATGGTGAGCCACTGGACACAGGTCTTTGAGGAAAGAGGTATCCCAGAGGCCCGGGAATCCTGTGAGTACATCGTGGCTCATGTCCTTGGAGCCAAAACAGTTAAGTGAAATATAAGGTAGTACAGGAAGAGGGAGGAGGGAGAACTCAGGGGAATAGATATTGAGGAGGTTTTGTATTTTTTTTTTTTTTTAAGATTCATTTATTATTTATATGGCATTCTGCCTACATACCAGATCTCACATTAGGTGGTTGTGAGCCACCATGTGGTTGCTGGGAATTGCACTCATGACCTTTGGAAGAACAGCCAGTGCTCTTAACCTCTGAGCCATCTCTCCAGCCCCCGTTTGTTTTATTTTTTTATTTAAATTTTGCCTTAATCAGGGAGCTTAATTGAGACTGGTGGGATTTTGTGGAACAAATATTTCAGGCAGATATTTATTCATTCATCCAACAAACTTACTACAGTATGTTCCAGGCGCTATGGGTTCAGGGATGATTAAGTTGCTAGTGTTGAGTCCACAGACATTGTCCACACAAGAAACCTGGGTGTGTGTCCCTAGACCAAGGAAACCAGCCACTCACATTCTTCATGGGGACAGTTTCAGAGCCTGAGACCAGTACTTCGGACCAAGCTTCTGACCCCTCAACAACGGGAGTCCATTCAGGAGCTATGTAGCCATCGGTTACAGAGGTAAGCACTCATGGACAGATCTGAGAATTCTACAGAGATCCAGCCATCCCTGGTTCTACCAAACTACGGTCAGGGAGGATTGAAGCGCCTAAGGACTAGGGATCTGTTGGGGTAAGGAAGTAGCAAGAGCAGGATTGGTGTAGTAAATTGAAAGAAGGGAAAGAGGGTAGGTCTAGACTGTTTGTCCTAGGGTAATGCAGATAGGATCCTGCCTGATAGCCTTAACAGTAGTCCTCAGTTCAGCTCTGGCCTTATTAATCCTGGTCCTGGTACTAATGACTCCCTGGATGCTCCTCCTGCAGGATGCCAGTGCAGTATATCCTTGGGGAGTGGGACTTTCAGGGGCTCAGTCTGAAGATGGTACCCCCAGTGTTCATTCCTCGGCCAGAGACAGAAGTGAGTATATATCACTAGGACAGGATGGAGAGGAGAAAAGGTTCAAGGTACCTGTCTTGCCCTCAACTTCCTCCAGGGGGTGCTGGGACCCCATGGTTGCCATTCACAGCATCCTTCTACACATAGGTCTTGCTGGCTAGGTTGGCTGAGCCATGATAAAGGACCCCCTCTTGCCCTCTTCCTTTGACTCTCTTCACATTCCAAGCCTCTGCCCCAGCTCCAAGGACTGGAAGTGACACAGAATGCTCCAAGTAGTGCTGTCCCTGTGCTCAGTTCATTGTAGCCATTTCTTAGCTTTCCTGTAGGCCAACCAATGGCAGACTCGGCCCATGGGAAATTAATGGCCTTCAGCAGCTTAGAGAGCATGGGAGAAATAAAGAGGGCTGTAACTGGACACCAGAGGCCTGGTATGAGTAATGTGACCTTAAAGGTGGCGTTGGCCTGTCTGGTCAGGCCATCTGTGACTTGGTGGTCCATTGTCTGGTCAGGTGATTGCTTGTGTCCTTCCCTCAGATTACTAGAGCTGGCAATTGTGTGGCCCGTGCATGCTGCTCCTTGGGTACACACCTGATGTGGGAGAGATGTGTTCCTTCTTTGACTTCTTCTTACTTTATTGATGGCAGAGCTGGGAGCTGGAGAGTGGGCTCTGGGGTGAGGTGGGACCATATAGGGCATGATGAGAAAAATCAGAGGGCGCTAGGCTCTGAAAAAGATTATTTCTGCAAAGATATGCCGGCACATAAACATTCTTGGGAACAGTCTGTCCCATTCCACCTCTGCTAGCCAGAGCCTTCGAGCTGCCCATCCTTCCCCCTTTCAATCTCTGTCCCTTGGTCATGAATCCACCAATATGTCTGAGAGATGGCTCAGTGGTTAAGAGCACTCGCTGCTCTTTCAGAGGACCCAGGTTCAAGTCCCAGAACCCACACAGTGGTTTACAGTCCTGTGGGATCTGATGCCCTCTTTTGGCCTCTGTGGGCACTACATGCACATGGTATGTTGATATGCATACAGGCAAAATACTGTACATATACATTAAAAAAAAAAAAAGAATACTCTGGTCACCTGGTTTTTCCCTTCTCATGTGGCAGAACGACAGGAAGTTTGAGGCCTTGAGAAGTGACAGGGTGGTCAAGAAAGGGACCCATGGGCAGCACCTGAACTTTCTGACTCTGTCCTCTTTAGAACTGGCATGACCTGGGATGGGGTACAGATACTCCAAGCAGGATGTGGCCTGTCATCTTCAGGCTTTCAGGGGATTGTTCTATAGCTTCCCCCAAATATGTGACTTCTGCTTGCCATCCTTGGAGACTGTCAAGGCTTGGAACATAGCAGGGAAGCTGTCATGGTGGCCTTTGCATCCTCTTGGAGCTGACCTGGTGTCTGCCATGTGTCTTGGGATTCTGAGTGTCAGGTATGAGCTTTCAGGTCCTATGTGCCCCACCTACTTGAGGTGGGTCCGGGCCAGGAAGGCAGCTTTGCTGCTGGAGGAGGGGGGGGGGAGTGAGGACGCTGTGGTTGGTTGGGAGGCCAGGTCTGCCTCACTCACTGTACAGACATTTCTGAGAACTCACCAGGTTTGCCCCAATGGGAAGCCACATCAGACGGGGGTGCTTTACTAAGAAATCAAGAGGACGTGGCCTGTGGCAGGGAGTGGAGAGAATGGGTGCAGAGGAGGGGGTCACAGAGCCTGTATTCTTTATCCATCAAAGGGTGGTTTTTGATGGTAGGTGTAAAAGTCTGAAATGCAAATTTGCAAGTGGCTTGTGGCCTGATGAGTTTGGTTTTCCTTGGGGGGGTGGGGATGGGTGAGAGGGTGGCTAATATATACAGTGGGAAACCTAAGGCCGGTGTGAGCTATTTGCATCTCCATCTGGCATGGTATGACTGTGTTCGCTTAGAGGGGCTCAGCTGCTATAACTGTTTCAGGGAGGCAGTCTACCTGACTAGGGCCAGCCCATCAGGGATGTGACCTTAACAGAGGGTGTGTGTGGCACTTGTATCTGAGACCTCAGGGCTACCTCCATAGGGGTTGTGGAGTACTTCTGGAGTCCAGGCAAAACTGAAAACTGCCCATTCCCTGTTTTGAGTTCTTGCTGGATTCATTTGGAAAAGATGCCCTGCCTCTGTAACTAGCTTGGCTCAGAGCCAACAGCTTTTGGTAGAGGGAAGGTCTTCACTGCATAGGAAAGAACTTTCTAGACTTCCTGGATGTCGTCTCAACATAGTTCCCACGTAGTCCGCGGATGGTCCTACAGTTAAGATGAGATTTCCATGGTAGAAAGGAAGGAAAGAGGCCACTGGTAGCAGTGGGGGCCCAGTCTGTCAGCTTCACACCCTGTGCCAGGTGGCCATTTGCATAGATGGTGTGTGTGTGTCTGAGGTCAGGGATGCCTCTGTGAGGTGGCTAGCCAGTGTGGGCTGGCTGAGGGGTCATCCTCCAGCCAGAGTGGGCTATTTGTGGCCAGGAAACCCAGAGAAACTCACACCCCTAACACAGGCTGTCATTTTGCTGGCCTTTCAGCCTGCTCCCTGTACCACAGCCTCTCAGTCACAGCCCTAGATTGCAAGTTCTACACTGGTCATAAGCCCAGTGCTCCTCACTCACTCCTGGCACAGGACTCAACCAAGCTTTCTCACCTATGAGCAGTATCTCTTTAGTACAGAGGGGCTTGAGACAGAGAAGGCTGGTCCAACTCTCTGGTGTCTGTTTGCTTTGGACTTGTTTCCTTTGGTGTGAATGAGCACTGCCACTGAGATTGGGGCCCTAGAAGGACAAATGCCTTTTGGGACTCAGCAGGACAAACTTAAAAGCAAAGTAGGTTTGGGAGACCTGGTGCCGTTTGCTCCACCGGCCCAGCTGGTGGGTCAGACCCAAGGTCTTCTCATAATTTAATGTAAGAGAGGCAAGCCCTGTCCTAGATCTTCAAGTCATAAAGATGGTAGAAACATTTCAGCTATGGAAACAGCAGCAACCTTCACCCTTCATTCCTAGCTCACCCTGCATACACCATATATGGCCTGTGTAGACAGCAGATGGTGGACGAGATACTAAACCCTCTGGCACTCATGCTGGTGGTGTCTGAAAGTATCCTCCTTCCACAGTTTTGGGTGCCATCCAGACAGGCTCCTACTGTGCCCCTTTACCGTGTTCTATTTGTGCCATAGCCACTTGCTAGTATGAGACTCAGCAGGGATGTGCTCCTGTCCCATTAAGGGAATTACTTGCCCCTTTGGCCTAGGAGTCTCCTGGGAAATTCTCAAAGTCAGCTCTTTGAGAACACTGCGAACACACCAGGTACCTCTGCCGTATTAACTTTTTCCCCATGGTACTTGGGTGGAACCCAGGACCTTACATATGCTAGGCAAGTGCTCTGCCTTTGAACTATATCCTCATCTCCAAGCCTGATTCTTGACCACTGTGAGCCACAGTTCAGGCTCCATATAGGGCTTTTTGGGTGTTAGTGTCTATATGATTCAGTGGTGATGATCCAGCACATCAACACAGGCTCTAGAAGCAGGACCAGGCACAGAAGATTGGCTGTCAAATATGGGTGTGTGATTCTGACTACCCTTTACTGGGTTCCTGAGAGAAGTGCTCAGTTTTGCAGATGAGTAAACTGAGGCATGGAGGGATAGCATGAGCCACCCAGGGTCCTTGCGAAGATCAGTTTGGCCTTGGTTATCCCCCACCCGCCTTCAGTAGGAGCCAACTGCCTGGACTTCCTTGTCAAGGCACCCAGGAGCACTCAGTCTGATCCAGACCCTCTCTGCTCTCCAGGAACTGGTTGAATGGATCTTAGAGGAAGTTGCCCAGAGGGCCCCTGCAGTGGGACCCCAAGGTGGTCCCCTCATTCTGGAGGTGGGCTGTGGATCAGGAGCCATTGCCCTCAGCCTGCTGAGCCAGCTCCCCAAGGTAAGCCCCCTCTGCATCCCTCTACCCTGCCTTTAGCACATGGCGATAGTCACTCACCGAGCCTTCCACTGATCCATCCCTCACATCCCTGTGCTAGAAGCATGCAGGGAAAGTGGCCAGATAAGGAAGGTGTGCCCAGCCCAGCGTGATCATAGCCTTTGACTTCCATCGATGTCTGTCTGGCTAGAGCCTAACTACAGGAAAAATTTGTTACATATTTCTTTCTTCTTAGGAACTGGGGCAGGATCCCTAGGCATCTCACAGAATTCCATTCTCTCTTTCTTTGTTCTTGGAGCAGAGTCAAGTTATTGCTGTGGATAAGGCAGAAGCTGCTGTTAGTCTCACCCGTGAGAATGCTCAGAGGTAGGTGGGCTGTGAGGTCCAAAGGCCAGCACTGGGGAGTTGGACTCTGCCTGGAACCTCAAACCTCCTAGTGTCTGGCTTCCACTCTTGAGGGAGAGCCTCGATGAGGGTAGCCCGGCATTGGTCCCATGGGTTTAGGAACAGATGGATCATGAGCAGTAGCTCTCATGCTGATCCAAGAAGGGCTCCCTTTCAAGCTCCTGGTCCTTTTAGCCAAGGGTAAAGGCTTGCATCCTATGCTCACCAGCATGTCTCCATCTCTCCAGGCTTCAGTTGCAGGACAGGATTCAGATCATCCCCCTTGATGTGACCTCAGGTAACTTCCCCTATACATATTCCTGGGGTAGGGATCCTGGAGAGAGGCGCTGCTGGTGGGTGAGACACTTCAGAAATGGGGTAAGGGTTTCCCAATAATCATACCCATGGACCATCTCAGACCAGGCCTTGCTGAGGACTGACAAGGTGCTATTGTCTGTGGGGCCAGGGAACTGTTGGGGAAGAGGAAGGGGAAAAGGGGTTCAGCAAGAGTGGGGTCAAGGCATGTCCAAACTCCAGAAATGTCATCCTGAGATTGGCAGGAGTAGGACCATGACTTTAAACAACCTCCCTTCCCCCAGAGCCTGCATGCATCTGCACATTTAGCCCTGTGCCCCAGCCCTTGCTCTTTTTGGGAGGCCACATAGCCTGCACCAGGTTAAACTTCCTTTCTCCTTATAAGGTAATGTCCAGCAGCACCTGGAATTTCTCCTTATGCAAATTAGGCATCTTCAGCATCCTGGCCCTGGCCAATGATATCACTCAGCACATCAGCCCCTACTCACTCATGAATCCACAACATTACAGCTGGGCAAGTGGGCCAGGAATGGCAATTGGCTTCTTGACTGACCTGACCCATGAACCCATGAAGGGGCTAGCCATCAGGCCTTTTTTTTTTTTTTTTTTTTTTCCTACTCCTCAAGACAGGGTTTCTCTGTGTAGCCCCTAGCTGCCCTGGAACTTGCTCTCTTTGAGGCTGGCCTCAGACTCAAAATCTGCCTGCCTCTCCTCCTGAGCTCTGGAATTAAAGGTATATGCCACCACTGCTCAACCTCAGGTCTCTCTTACCTGCTGGATCCCCTGTATGACTGTTAAGTTTAACTAGGGTTTGTTTACTGTGAAGAAGTAAACAGATGTTGAAAGGAAAGCAATTCAGAGACAAGTATGGCAGCTTATACCTGTCATCTTAGCAGTGGTGAGGCAGGAGGATTCCTATGAATTCAAGGCCTGACACCAGAACATAGTTCTAGACTAGGATGGGATATAAAGTGAAGAACATCTCAAAAAAACAAAAATCAAACAAATTAACAACAAAGAGAAAACCTTAGGACTAAAAACACACATGTGCCTTCCCTGTGCCCCCCTGGCCTGGAAGAGGTGATCCGGCAGTGCCTGGCATGTGGCGGACTTTGCAGTATCCTCAGGTTTCCAGCTCCAGTTCTGATTTTGTTGTTGTTTGTTTGTTTGTTTTGTTACCCACAGAATCCCCTAGCTTTGTGTATTATATACCTGGTTTAGCATCTGGTACAAATGGCACCCAGGAACTGCCATAAGGGGTTGTCTGAGGGCAGCAAGCCTGGCCTCCTTGTGCTCTCAGACTGTATTGGTTATAAAGCAAAGAGTGGCAAGGCCAGGGAGCTGCAGAGCAGAGAAGCCCTTCCTTTGCCTTTGTAATCAAGGAGGGCTTGCTGGAGGCGTTACTTAAATATTGCTTAATGAGGAGGCCTTGATAGGGAGGAGAGAGAACATGGATATTCCAAGTGAACAGCTGCATGTCAGAACTTGTCCGCTCCCAGCCAGCCTGCTAAGTAGGAACTCTGGCTACTAATCTCTGAGTCTGGCTTATCAGGTTTAAAGACAGGCCCACAGTATAACTTGAGGGGTGGGACTGGCTAAGGGACAAGGTGGCAAGTGGAGCTGCCAACTTTTACTTCTCTGAGCTTGATGCTATGCATCCTTCTCTTTGCCCACAGAGGGGCACTGGACACACCTTCTGCCCTGGGCTCCCGTGGACTTGGTGGTCAGCAACCCTCCATACGTCTTCCACAAGGACATGGAACAACTGGCTCCAGAGATCTGCAGGTACAGTGTGGGTGGGACAGCAGAGAAGGTCTAGTCGGATTGGTCGGCCCTTGGAGGCCCTCCCATCTGGAGAAAACAGTGCAGTGTTGAGAGGCATATTGTAGAGCCTGCAGCCTTCCTGGGGAAGTTTTTGCCTTTGCACTTGTGACTCATGGAGGCCCTACCCTCTGAGCATCCGTTTCCTACTTGGAAAGAGGAGCAAGTGGTGGTGCTTGCAGGGCCATGGGAAGGACTTAGCATCAGGCATAGTAAAGCCTTACAGAAGGTACTCATAGGGGCATGTGTCATTTTATACAAGACCAAGGCCTAGGAGGAAAGGTGCCTTGCTAAAGGTCTCATGAGGGCTTAGTGGGAAAGCCATCCTGCATTCACATGGCCGGAAAACCCAGTATAACCACATGAGCACTGGTAATATGTGTTGGGGGCTGGCTCCTCTTTTCTGGAGTCTGTCAGGATCAGCCTTAGATGCCGTGTTGTGGGAGCCTCATGCCCCAAGGGCTCTGTCAGTGGGACTCAGCAAGCCCATCCAGCCTTGCTGAATGGAATGTGGTCTGCACGAGAGAGGAGAGAAGGAAGAGCTATACCCATTTAGGAACTACTTACTAATGGGTCCTCAGCTTACCTCGCAACCGGAGTCTTAGGTCTCAGAGGGCCCTTTGTGAAGGTCTGCCTGGCTTCTCAACCCTGGACACACTCCTCCCCCAGGCTCTCACCTCCACTGTTTTCTCACTCAGTTACGAGGATCTGGTGGCCCTGGATGGTGGTGAGGAAGGCATGGACATCATTACCCACATCTTGACCTTGGCACCTCAGCTCTTGAAGGCCTCTGGGTATGGACAGTAGCCTCCTCCTCTTCCATTGTGTAATTGGCATGCCTTGGCAATCACTGTGCCCGCCTCTTACAGGCCAGACAACCTAGAAGCACATGTCCTGGCCCTGCCTAGTTGAGCTGACCCATTTCTCCTCCGTGTAGAAGTATCTTCTTAGAAGTGGACCCAAGGCACCCAGAGCTTGTCAGCAGCTGGCTTCAGAGCAGGCCTGACCTGTACCTTAGTCTTGTGGCTGTCCGTAAAGACTTCTGTGGGAGGTAAGGCTACAGTTCTCATTGCCACAGCACTTCCGTGCACTTCAGCAGCCCCATTGTGTGTATATTCCTTAGAGCTTAGATGGCACCCAGGTATTCATCCTGTCTCCTCAGGCCCCGGTTCCTGCATGTCCAGAAGTCTGCATCATAGTGTGGCTACTTTGTGAACACCTGGCCAGGATTCTAGCCTGCTGGGCGCACCTGGCTGCCCCTGCATGGGTGTTCTCAGAGGAAGGTGTACAGTGCCTCCCCAAACCCGAGGTGAGGCCCATGGTTCTGTGATTCCTCATGGTGAATGTTTCTAGAAGATTCGGAAACACAGAGGGAGTGTTCTTCCCAGGGCAGCAAAGAACAGAGACTCAAGAGCTGGGTTTCCAGCCGAGGCTATCCTCTCAGTGTAGGGGCCTACTTGGTGTTCCTCTTGGTGAAATTGCTGTGATGATATTGGGAAGTGTGGCCAGTAAAGTATTGAGAGAACAATAAATGGTGAATCAGTGTCTTGTTTGTGGATCCTTGTCCCCCATGTATGGACTAGGCCCGAGAGCCTCCTTCTACTCCTCCAGCAAGTCAAACAGACAGTCTATAGTATAAGATAGCACGTGATGGGGGGTAAGGCTGGGGAGGCCCAGTTCCAGCCTTGGACACTGCAGGGCCTTCACAGAAGAGCCTACTCTGGCATATCATCATCTACCTCCAGCCTGGGTATGTCTTCATACACTTCCTTAACTGGGCCTAGGCTGAGCATGGGGGCTGTGTCTGCAGGTGAAGATAGGGCTGAGGGTCTTTGAGATGACCCTAGGGTTGTATACCCACATTCATGTAAGTGAAGGTTTGAGACAGTAAGGTGGAGAAAAAACAAAAAACCCACAGGACTTTTGTTTGTTATTGACCATCCTTTCCAAATGTGGAAATTCAGATTTGGAGTTGAAATAACCCACGTACCTCTCCTTGTTTGGTGCACTGACATATGATCTTCACCCAGCTCTGGCCAGGTTCCCAGCTACCAGGGTGCCTGAGACCAGCCTGTCAAAAGCAGCACCAGGAAGCCTGTCCAGGTGGTGAGTGTGGGTACAGACTGCATCTGAGTGGCTCATAAAGTGCGCCGACACCAAGCAAGTTCATTCCACTGGGCTCTGCTGCCGCCCTCAGAATTCACAAGGGCCCGACCTAAAGTGTAACAGCCACAGGCCGTGTGTTCCGATTGGCAGCAGCTCTGCCAAGACAGCTGGGTTCCAGGGCAGAGCCTTGCAGTTGGACCTTCATCATCTCCTTTCTCTCTAAGCAGCACAGAAGAGCATTCTACATGAGCCTGTCAGTCTCCATGAGTCATGTAGAAGTCTGTTCTACATGAGCAGAGTAGAATGTTCATCCTGGCATCTGAATGCCCACTGTCCAGACAGGAGGGTCCAGGCAGGTGGTAAGGCCTGCCTTCTGAAGTCCCTTGATACAAGGGATTTAGGGATAAGCCCCATGAGAAAGGAAGTTAGGTCCTCGCCTTCTGAGCATCTGTACTTCTGGACACATATCTGATAATACTTATAAGTGATATCAGCTACTGTGGTTGATGGGTATATCTGTGCTGGCAAAGATCACACTGAAGGTCTCAGAGCCCCAGGATCTGGCCCTGTGACCCTGTGTCCAGCCCTAGATATGTGGCCCTCGAGCTGTCTCTGGCTTCCTTTGAAGGAAAGAGTCTGGGCTTCCCCTCATGCCTGTTCCAGAAAGAACCAAGGAGGGTAACAGGGTACACTCAGAGCAGGGCTTCTCACCTCCCAAGCCTGTGCCATTTGACCTTTGCTTGCCCAAGCCTGTTTGTTGCCTTCTCTCTCTTGCCTTTGCCCTTTGGCCCTAGTTGTCTTCAGACATCTCAGGGCTGCTGCCCTGACCCCACAGCAGTCTGTGACCTCTTGTCTAAGAGTTTGGATTATACTCAGTGCTCATTTCCCTGACAGTTTTCTCAGCTGGCCTCAGGCCTGTTTCTGAGGTAAGGCCTTTGGGGAGCCTTCGGATCTGGCACCCAAGAGAGTACAATGATGGATCATGACAGCGGAGGGGCAGGTGGGGTCATTGGAGCAGGATCCACCCTTGGGACAACTTCCTTCCCAGAAAAATGTGGGGCTACTCCACTGGGATAAAAATCCAAGCCAAGTAGAGTGGCAAGGCAGGGCCTCCAGACTGTATCTACCCGCTTAATTAGGCTAGACATTGCATTGCCATACTGGAGCCATATCAACCCAAGTTTAGATTTGAGTCTGTCCCTTACCAGGATGTGTCCTGGGACAAATGACTTTGACTTAATCAGCTTTGCCCTCCAAACCTTGAGAACCAGACCAAAGTGCTTTACTGAAGAGGGTGGTGGTGAGATTTTCTTGGTACATTGTGGGTGTCTCATTGCCTGTACCCTGCTGGGTCAGCTTAGCACCAGCAGGCAGAAACGCTGCACTGAGCAAAGGAAAGAAGGCAGGAGTTTAGTGCTGGGCTCTTGGTGACTGCTCCCTGGAGATGGAGTCACCAGGAGCTGCCTCCCCCCTCAATGATTCTTCCCGTCAGGGCCTGAGTACCTGAGGCCCAAGCCGTGGCAGCCAGCGGCTCCACTCTGGGAAAGCCAAGCTCCTATGCTCTGCCCTCCTCTCTCTCCAGATGGGAGTGCCAGAAACTTGGCACAAGTCAAGGACTCCCTTGGGGACAGCTCAGGAGAATGCAATACACACAGTGCTGTCCAGGCCCTGCACACCCTAAGGGCTTGAGGCCAGAACCTGGGAGAGCAATTCTGTCCCCTCCAGAAGGTGGAGAAACTATGGTCTTAGCTCACAGTTGGACGTTTTTTGTTTTTGTTTTTTGTAGCTTCCCATGGATTAATCCATGGGGCTTATTCAGCTACCGTATTAAAATGTGTCCCCAGCTAGCAATATACCTGTTCTGCATGCCCTCCATGGCAGCAGGGCATCTTCCCAATCTCTGTTGTAAGCCTTAACTAGATCCCAGGACCTAAGTATGGTTTCTGTGTCCTGCAGAGTGCTGTTGAAGAGGCGGGGAAGACAGTTCTAAGGCCCTAGGATATGTCTCGCTGGCGCCATTAAGTAAGCTCCTGTCAGGACAGAGGGTTGCACCGCTGACAGGTCTGTGAACTGCTGCTATGAAGTCGGAAGCCCTTTAACCTCTGCAGCCTGTCCTGATTCTCCCTGTCCACCTTGAGATTCTTTACTGCCCTGGACCTCAGCCACCCTGCAGTGCCCTCCTCTAAACACCTTCCCCTAGCCCGGGTAGCACATCCGATGGAGTGCCCTTGCCCACCACTGCCAATCCGTGTCATACCTGCTAAATTCCAACACACCTTTCCTGGCCTTGTGTTCTAGCCATCTCCTACCCACATCTCTGTCAGTGCCCTAACTATATAACTGTCCCCTGAGTGAGGAAACCTTCGGGTCTCATTCTGGGAATCGCTGTGAGACTGGCACATTCAAGTTTAGTAAGTGTCCACTGATAAACTGACAGGATATCCATTTTTTAGACTTGAGGCTAGAACTTCCTGAGTGGGCTGTATCTGACCTGACAAAAAGCTCTCACATATTCCAGTCAGCAGAGAGAGGAAACCATGAGGTCTGGCCTCCTGCCTGAGCCAGGCAGCTGTTCAAGCTGAGCCGTAATCATTTTGAGGGCTCTAGTGCACCTGACACCCGCCCCGAAGCAGTGCCAGGAGAACAGGCTGTCCTTGGCGGCAGCGGGAGCAGGCGCCAGGTTTCCTGGAGCTCTTGGCCTTAAGCAGCCCCCAGTCAAGGTGGTGACTAGTGTGGTGGCCTGATCGCTCTCTCTTTTGTTTGTTTTTATTTTTTTGAGGCAGGGTTTCTCTGTGTAGCCCTGGCTGTCCTGGAACTTACTCTGTAGACCAGGCTGGCCTTGAACTCAGAGATTCACCTGCCTCTGCCTCCTGAGTGCTGGGATTAAAGGCATTCGCCACCACGGCAGCCTGGTCTCTTTTTATGAGCCCGTGTGTGGTATGTATGTATTCACATGAGCATGCAAATGTGTGTGTACATACATGCACATAGAGGCCAGAGGCCTCAATTGCCACCTTATGTTTTGAGACAGGGCCTTTCACTGACCTGGAGCTTACCGATTACCAAAGCCCCAGGGCTCCTGCCTCTGTCCAGTGCTGGGGTTACAGACGTGTACAGCCATGCCTTGATCTTACATGGGTGCTGGGGACCCTGACTCAGGTCCTTGAATTCATGGAGCAAATAGTTTACCACCTGATCCTTCTTCCCAGGCTTGCAGCTCAAGATCTTGAAAAGGAAAAAGTGTCCTGAGTTGTCCACAGAATGCAGTAGGATCCCAGGTGTCTGTAGGGAGGAGACAGGTGTCAAAAGAGAGGAAACGGGTCGGTATGGTGTGATTGCAAGAGGAAGGAGCCATGAGCCAAGGAATACAAACAACTCCTTCCCTAGAGCCTCAGGAAAGAATGTAATCCTGCTCACACACAGTGGAATTAACTTTGGATTTCAAACCTCTACGATTGTACAGTGTGGTAGTGTATATGGTTTCAAGTTTCAAAATCTGTGGTAATCTTATACAGCAACTGTAGGAAACTATAGCTCCGTGGAGCTTGGGCAAGTCAGTTTGTATTCTTTTTTTAATTTTTATATTACACTTATTTAGTTTGTGTATTATGTATTATTTATTTGTATATAGTTTATTCCAGAGCATGCAAGTGGGTGTCAGGAAAACTGTAGGAGTCATTTTCCTTTATGTGGGTCTGGGGGATTAAAGTCAGTTCTTCAGGCTTGGCCTTCAGTACATTTACTCAGAGTCATCCTGGTTAGCCTTCACCATATTCTTGTGACAAAACCCCGTACAAGGAGGAAAGATTAGTTTGGCTTAGAGTTTCAGCCCAGTATTGCCTGGCTCTGTCGGAAACATGCAGAAACATGGTAGGGGGAAGCTCCTCATCATAGCAGCCAGGAAGCAAAGAGAAGAAAAGGAGTCCAAGGACAGTGCATACTTTATGGCTAATCTTGGTTGTCAGCTTGTCACACCTGGGAAGCAGAACCCTCAAGTGAAGAACTGTCTCCATCAGATTGGCCTATATTCATATCTGTGGGTCGTATTCTCAATTGATAATTGATGCCAGGGGTCCTGCCCACTGTGAGAAGTAGCATCCCTGGGCAGGTGGACCCGGGCTCTATTAGCTGATTGAGAGCCAGGAAGTGAGCCAGTAAGCAGCGTCTCTCCATGGTCTGTGCATCAGTTCCTGCCTCTGCGTTCTTATGTGAGTCCCTGCCCTGGCTTTCCCAATCTGTAAGCTGAAGTAAACACTTCCCTCCGCAGTTGGAAGGGGAAGTTCACACACACACACACACACACACACACACACACATTTCTGTTGCTTTGACACAGGGTTTCTCTGTGTAGCCTTGGCTATCCTGGAACTCGCTCTGTAGAGCAGGCTGACCTCAAACTCACAGAGATCTGCCTGCCTCTGCCTTCTGAGTGCCATGTA